CTAGGCTCGAGGAGGCTGCTTGTCTATAAATGGCCTCCTTTCTCAACCTACACACCTTCCTTTCATATCCAGGAGCCCCAAATCCAGGTCTCGGAACCATGTATACTTCTCCTTGTAATTCCCCATGGAGGAGTGCATTCTTGATGTCTAGTTGATGTGACGGCCACTCCATGTTAATTGCCAGAGACAAAAGGACCTGGATGGAGTCCATCATAGCCATAGAAGTGAATGTCTCTTGATAATCTATTTCATAATTTTGAATGAACCCGTTGGCGACTAATTGTGCCTAGTATTTGTGTAGTATACTTTTAGCCTTGTGTTTTATGGTGTAAACCCTTTTGCAACCAACCAGCTTCTTCCCTTTAGGAGGGTCTGCCAGCTCCCAAGTACAGTTCTTCATTAATGCCCTCATGTCCTCATACATAGTCTCTTTCTACTTGGGATGACCTAAAGCTTTTGTGACATTGGATGGAATAAAACAAAAGATAGAAAGGACATGAAAGCAGGATAGGAAGGAGACAAGGATTCTTAAGAAATAAAATTGCTAATCGGGTGAACTGTGCAACTTTGTCGACCTTTGCGTACAACAATGGGCAGATTTGAAGTGTCATACTGGGGTCTAGAAATATTACCTGGATTAGAGGTATACAATTGGCGTGAAGGTCTGCCAGCTATGATGAGCTCTGTTGCCTTGTTTTTCCATTGAGTATAAACTTTTAATTCTCTCTCTTCTGCATGGTGAGAATGCTGCCCACTATCATTCTGGTTTTTAGTACCAGAAATTATAGGGATATGAAGTGGTGGTATAGAGGGCCTCTCTTCCACACTATCCCCGTCTTGAAGAGAGGTGTGAAAGAAGGCACTGAATTAAGAAGAGGTTACATCCATTGCAACAAATTTTTTCCTTGAAACTGAATCATAACATTGGTAACACTTTCGCAACGATGGATATCCAGGAAAAATACATTTTACAGATTTGGATCCAATTTAGTATAGTACCGACCCAGAACAATAGCAAAGCAAACGCAACCAAAGACTTTAGGGCGGACATCGAATAATGGACAATTAGGACAAAGAAGTTTATATTGGGACTTGTAATCTAAAACACTAGATGGCATCTGATTTAATAAGTTAAGGTGCAGTAAGCACAACTTCAAACTAGGAACTAGCATATCTTGGGTACATTCATACTGAAGAGGAGAGCATGATTCACTCTTAAAAAATGTGTATCTTTCCTTCCAGTTGAACCCTTTTGTTGTGGTTTATTTACAATAATTTTGACATGTTATTCCACACTTATCCAAACAGGACTGTAACTGTCCATTATAATACTCCCCACCTTGGTCAGATTGAAGTACCTTAATTTTAGTATCAAATTGAGTGAGAACCATCTTATTTGGAACTTCATTTTTTTTTTCTTAAGGTAGATCCAGGTACATTGAGAGTAATCATCCACAAAAGAAACATAATACTGATAGTGTAAACAAGATGTAACAAGAGAAGGGTCCCAAACATCAGAATGAATAATAGTGAGGAAGGGTCTCAAACATTAGAATGAATAATAGCAAAAGGAACCTTGCTTTTATTATTGGTTGGTAAATAAGAGTTTCTACAATGTTTTGATAGCTCACAGACCTAACATTGAAACTTTGACAAACAAGAAGAGATAAAGAACTTAGGAAACAAAACTTCTAAGGACTGAAAAGTCAAATGACCAAGTTGGAGATGCAACTGCCAAATCTGATCTCTATTAGCATTGGAACTGGACTGTAGGGCGTGAGAGGTAATTGTTGCCAAGTCCAGAATGTGGAGACCACCATCTTCATGACTAATGGCATTGTCTTCTTCATATCCACATCCTGAAAAACACAATGGGAAGGAAAGAATGTCACACTACAATTCAAACTCTTGGTGATGTTATTGATAGATATTAAGTTTGTAGCAAAGCTGTGATCTTGAAGCATTGTTAACAATGACATTTGAGGAGAAACATTGACAGTTCCTTTTCCAGTGATAGAGGAAAAAGACCCATCAACAATCCTAACTTTGTCTCTACTAGAACAAACAGAGTAGGAGGGAAACAAGGTTGACATGCCGGTCATGGATCTGATGCTCCTGAATCAATAATCCGAGGCTATCCAAATGGAACAAAGGAGACATGATTAGTAGAAGCATGAGTACCTGAGTGTGCAAAAGATGAAATAGAGGGTGTGGAGGGCCATTTAAATGTGTGAACAATCAGCGAAGACTTTCAATCTCCTCTTTAGGGACTGTTGTCATCTATTTTAGAGTAGAAACTGAAGAATCGTTGCATTTCGCATTGGCTGATCTGTACTAGCAGGAGTTGAACTTCCAATGGATGATGATTTGTCACCATTAAACTGACTTGGATGGTTAAATTTAGCTGGCCGACCAACTAGGTCCCAGCAAGTCTCTTTAGTTTGACCATTTGTACCGCAATGGTTACACCTAACTTACTTTTATCTCCTTGATTCTACCCCCATTTTGCATATTTCTGAGTTCTACCACCTTTATTGTCTCAGGAGATAACGAGACTGTAGCAAGGGCGGATTGATCTAGTACTTAACCAGCATGACACTTTTTCGACTTTCCTCACTTTGGACAAAGGAATAGACCTGGTTAAGTGATGGAAGAATATCGCTAATGACTATTTGGACCCTAGCTAATTCAAACTCTAGGATCAATCCCGTCAAGAAATTTGCATTATTCTCCATGTTATAGGCTGGTTTAAACATCTCATAGTTGTCCAAATCGTCCCACATACTATGAAGTAAAGAAAATATCTCGCAAGAAACCTCTCCTTGATGAAGATAGGAAATTTCTTACCTTAAGTGGTACACTCGAGCCATATTCTTGCTTTGAGAGTAAGTTTAGTATACTAATTGAGAGCCATATTCTTGCTTTGAGTGTAAGTCCCATATCTATCTTGCAATTTTAAGAAATAAAAACCCTTACTAATTGATGTTTGCATGGAGTGTCATAACTGAGACATTGCAGTCATATTTTGAGTTTCCAATTTCTCATGTGAGGGATTTGTTTCTTCGCGTTTAGTAATTTTACCATTGATATATCCCAGCTTCCCTAATCCACCAATGAACATTTTTGCAGAATGTGACCACTCTAAATAGTAATCGAGTTTGATAGTTGTATGTTGTAGTCCAGGGTTATATCCATGGATACCCATGGATACCCATATGAGAGTTTACACCTAGATAGTAGAGGTGGAAGAGTGTTCATAATCACTCATACTCGACATATTGACCAAAATACAGCAAAAAAAACCATCAAGGAAACCCGCTGATTAACACACACAGCCACTCAAAAAACAACTCAATCAGGGAGACAAAATATCCATACAAGAGATCTTGAAGAAAATTGAGTCTCACAACTTATAGATAAGGGTTTAATCCATTTAAGGGGTTCAACATTGACTTTAACACTGTCTTTTTTTTTTTTGACAATGTTATATAGGAATGAAACTTGAGACGTTGGGCTATGAAAACCTAGCCTCTACCGTCTTGACCCAAGCCCGTTTCTTCATTGACTTTAACAGTGTCAACCACACCAACCAGATCTGGGGTTTTTGAACCCACAACAAAAACTCAAATAACCTTGAAAACTAGGGTTTCTTGATTCCATACCTTTTCCAGATCAAATTTTCTGACCATGTGGCTTTTGGAGATCTTCACATGGTCAAATCACACCTTTAGGGTTTCAAAAGAAACCTTTTGAAATAACCTTGCTTTGATACCGAGTTAAAATTACAATAACAACCAAGGAGTAAAGATGGAGCAGAGGATAGAAAGAGAGATCAAAGGCGTGATTAGAAAGAAAGGGAGGGAGGAGGGATACCTTGAGAGAAGAAAAGGAAGAGAGAATGCCATGTGAGATCTAACTAACTTGACCTTCACACACCTCTCTATGAGAAGAAAAGGAAGAGAGAACGTCATGTGAGATCTATTTTGACCTCCACACACCTCTCTATTGTTTTATATTAATTATAAATGAAGTGCAGAAGTGTGCTTTTAGCGAAAAGGACAAATAAGTCCTTGGGGCTTAAAATACAATTTAAAGACAAGGAGCCAATATTCACTTTGACAACACTATCTAGTAATGGCATGTGTGTCATGTGTGTTTAGGAGAATCCGACATGACAACACACTAGTCATGCATCACTACACATAAGGCATGCATACACATTTAGGAAATCCACCCTGACATGGGTGTTTGGTAAGTTTCAGTGTTTCTGGATTTGCAGGCATGGCGTGGCTGCCATGGGAATGCATGAGTCTATGGAATGGATGAACAAGACACACACGTCTAATTTGTAAGTCACATGTGGGTCATATCTTATGATTTGGGAATGTGCATCTTCGATTTGGACTCACATGTTTTATATTATTTGGTTAATTTCGTTACTAGAAATTCACATATTGATGTTATAATAGATAAAGACATGTGGTTGTCCTGCAGACTTGTATGGATGTGTTTTACTAGACTTGGCAAATATAGGATGGCGAGCTGGATTCCTCTAATCTGAGTGGGACACAGATTGTCATATCCATAACATAGATTGTAGTATAAATTGTGTAGCCAAAACACAGCAGCGGGTAGATCCAGTGGACGACTGGCATCCTTCATGAGGTTATGGAAACTATGCAGACTAAATCAATTACACAAATATGCCCATTATATTTTCTTTAAATCTCCAGGAAATTTGACTGTCCGGTTTTGCTTCCATCTTACCTTAGTCTATCGCACGTGTGCTAGAGGTGGCTTGAGAGATGTTTAAAAATTTTATTGTTCATAATAGCATTCAAAACATCAAAATTGGAGTACCTGGTCTTCTATTACTCATGTATTCTTGTAAGAACTAGTTCAGGAAATTATTTATAGAGTTCTTGCAAAAATTGGAAATTTATTATGTTAATTAAAATTCTACATGTTTTTTAATGATCAATCCACTTAATGCTTTCCAGGTGTAGATATATGGATGAAGAAGAGAGTGAGCCCTACACGGATGTCTGCTGGATCAAATATGTACAGGTCAGCAATGCTAGGTAATGGATATTTATAACTTGACTAGCTATATATATTACATGTTGTACTATTATGATTTTGTAAATGCTCATGCTCCTATTTTGTTTGTTTTCTCCTTTCAAATGCTTTAATGGCTACATTATTTCATGCTAAACTGGCTGTATGTTTTGAGTTCACTGCTTTGGTGCTTTTCCTTCTCTCTTATGCAGCTATTATATATCTCCATATATTATGTTGTCTCTAGTTGATGGATTAAGTTCACTCAGTATCTCAAATATGTAGCATGTGAGGCACTGCCGAAGTTTATATCTCCTCTAACTTGAATTTTCTGTGACTTGATAATGGTCAACTGTTTGCTATTAATGTGCTTAGTAATGACAGACACCCATTATTCTCTCTCAATTATGTAATTCCTATGAAACCTCCGTATGCTCAATTTTTGCATCCGCGTTAAAAGTCCTATGGTACCTATGTTGGTTTTATGAGGCTTTCTTTGAGGAATGGATTTATAATGAGCCTTTTGTATATGTATTATACTTAAGGTGAGCACAATGTTTTAAAAAGCAGACTGCCCGGGCCTAGGCGGTCCAGAAGGCCTGGGCGCATCGCCCAGGTCTAGGTAGCCAAATTAGGCGGATATCCCTGGGTGCCCGGGAACCTGCCTAGGCGCCTGCCTGAACCCGCCTAGGCGCCCGCCTGAACCTGCCTAGGCGGCTGCCCAGAGCTTGTTCCCCGCCCAGGGGCGGAAATGCGGCTCCTTGAGGGTATTTTTTAGGTCATTGTTTTTTAATACTAAGGGGCAAAATTGTGGGTTTTAGGTTCAATTGAAACCTGAAACCCATTAGAGGCTATTTTAGAGAGAGAAAACCCCGACAAGAAATTTTTTTGGTCTCGGCTGCCCAGGTTCTGGGCACCTGCCTAGGCGTTGGGAGGTGCCGCCTAACGCTTTTTGAAACACTGGGTGAGCATGTGTGTTTGTACACATAGTTACATTGGTGGTTGAATGTGGATGCAAATCCTTGATGTCAGTTATGTATCCCTTGCACCCAAACAACTAAACTAAGAGGAGTGTGTCAGTGTGTGTATAACTAACTACACATATAGATGGCATATGGATGGATGTATGTATATGAATATGTGTAATTTATATGGCTATATATGTGTCGAAACGAAATCAATGTTGTACCTCTAATCTCAAATTTCTAAATGCATCCGCATGTGTGGGTATAGATGAATGCATATATACATGTTTGTGCATGTATTAATCGATGTGCATATGTGAATATACATGCACATGCTTATTAATGACTGACACACCCATTGTCCTATCTCATTTGTGTAATTCTTGTGAAACATCTGCGTCATCTACATTGAAAGTTCCTATTCTTGGGATTGTGTGCCTTTGGAGGCCTTGTGACTTTCTATCTTGTACCCTTATTTGTGTTTTTGCTCTAATTGCAGTTCGGTCCCTGAAAGTGAATAGTTGGTTGGCTCGCCTACTTGTGCGACTCACCAGGCCTAGGCAGTCTGAGGCCCAGGAGAGAAGTCTCTTGAGACACAAAATCCTTGACCACAAGGTTTGTGCAGTGGTCCTAGACTCCTAGTCGGCATGTGACCGTGGTCGGAGCTGGGACAAAGAGTTCCCAAATGGTAGAGGTGGCATGTGAGGACAAGGGCTAAACCCTCGACCCAACCTTATCTGCAACAATGCGCATATGATAACTGCCCTATATGGGAAGCTGCCTTGACAACACCTGGTGAAGGACATGCACATGTGCATAGAGAGGAATCTCCACACCTTTGGATGGCGTTTTGTGGACTTGTCCTTTAGGGTTCATCCATAATCCATTGTCCTAGAAATCGACTGCCTATCGATCAACTTTGATGGGCCAAGCACGAGCCCTTATTGGAGATTGTGGGTCATGGGTTCTGTTGGGTTGATTTGAGAGAGTGCTAGTGGTATAAATGATAGTCGCCCTAATACAATGATACCAAGCCCTTGGCGCTTAATTCCATTTGACAATTTTTTTTAGGAGTCCAAAATTACTTGGTTTCAATAAATATCGCAAAAAATTATTTTTGTTAATTTTTGGGAATTTTTCCAAAAGAGAAATTGGCCATGGTTAACAAATTTGAGAATGACACAAAAGGCCTAAATATGTGAGAAATAGAGTTGAAATGGCCAATGGACTCCACATGGGCTTTTGGGGCCCACATGTGGCATATGGTGGTGATGTGCCATTATTGGATCTTAAAGTCCTTTTTGGTCATACTTGTATTTGTTGGTGGGCTATTATGGAAGTATGTATATTTGTCATATGTTTTGGGATTTGAGAGGCAGCCCTTGGTTATTTGTTCCTAAGGTCAAGTGGCATTTTGGAATTTGGTTGAATGCTCATCCTATGTGTGAAGTAGCTTTCCTACATGCTACATTTTGATTGACCACATATGTGATGAGGTTAAAGTGAAAATATCATAAAATATTCTTTTTTGTTTTTTATTTGTTTCTTGAGTCTTTTTATTTACTTGGGGTATAAGTAGTAATTTTTAGAGTCTTTATGTCTTTTCATTCACTTAAAGTCTTCTATAATAAAGGGCTATGATTAGATTAGATAGATGGCTAGGATTAACTCTTGTATAGGGTTTTTTTATATAAGGGATGTACTCATGCATAATCAGATTATGTTATGGACTTTATTCAAAACCTGAGAGCAACAAGTGGTCCTTTTATCTCTGGTTTTTGCATCTTTCTCTAATTTTGGATCTTCCCTATCTTCTTCATTGCCAAACCCTAGCTCCAAGCTACTAGGTTTGGGCCAGGTTGGTATCAGAGCCGATGAATCCAAGGTCCAAACAATTGTAGATTGGCCAGTTCCGAGGTCAACCCATGATGTGCGTAGTTTTCATGGCTTAGCCTCATTCTATCGGCGCTTCATGCATTGTTTCAACACCATTATGCAACCTGTCACTGAAGTAGAAATTAAATAGAGAAGAAAACAATTTGGTGGGATCTAGAGAGAAAGAGAACAAAGAAAATAAAAGTGATGATGATGAAGAAGAACAATAAGGGGGAGAGAGATGAAAAGATAAATTAAGTGGCTTGGAGGTCACTTGTGACCTCTACCCCTCTTATAACATTAAGTAATAACCTTAATTACAACTTATAGACAATACTGCCCTTATTTAGAGACATAAGACAGATTAGGACTTAACAATAGATAAATGACAGTTCTGTCCATCAAATACAACAAAACTTATTCTTTTTATTTCTAACACTCTCCCTCAAGCTGGTGCATAGATATCAATCATACCCAACTTGCGATATCATGTAATCTGTCCTGTCCAACGGCCTTGGTGAAGATACCAACAAGTTGATCTTTAGACTTCACATGAGGAGTTTGAATGATTTTGGCTGCAACCTTCTCTTTGCTAATGTGACAATGTACTTTAATGTGTTTAGTCTTTCATGAAAAATATGATTTTCTGCGATATGAATGGCTGCTTCATTGTCACAATATAGAGTCATGGGAAGCTTAACTCTAATACCTAAATAAAAAAGAACACTTTTGATCCACATTACTTCACATGTACCATGACCCATTGCTCTGTCTTCTGCTTCATCACTTAATCTTGCTACTACATTTTACTTCTTGCTTTTTCAAGTAACCAGGTTTCCCAAAATGAAGGTACAATAGCCAGTTATGGATCTTCTTTCAGTTTTGCAACTAGTCCAATCAGCATCAATGTAAACTGCAACATCATGATGTCCTTGATTTAAGAAAAACTAGTTGAATTATGTGCGTTGCACGTATGCAATTACTTGTAGCAGATTAACTAAAGTAAAAAGTTTATATAAGGTTGCAACCTTAAAATGTAGAACTACAGATGCATCTCAAAAATCCATCGGAAAAGGTTATTTTAATGTTGAAAAACCCTATAATTGATCATCTTGGCATCGAGATGTATGAATATAAAAAGAAAAGAAAGATTTTGTCCTAGAAATAGTGCATCTTGCAACATAATATCTAGACCGTCCATTTTCAAGATTTTCACATGCTTATAGATCTACTTGATTTTAACCATTTTTGGAGTTTAAATATTTATAATTAGATATGAAAATAGATTTTTAGATAATCCTAAGAATTTTTTACATCAAAATTGCATGTTATGATAAAATTTGGAGGTGCGTGTTAATTGGATTGTTAGATTTTTAGATAATCCTAAGACTTATTATATTACTTTGGGTGAGTATGCGTGTTTGTGTACATATTTATATTTGTGGGTGAACTGGGGTCCTAGATGTCGGTTATATATGGTGTGTTTATTACAATGGTTTAAAAAACGGATCGGTGACCCGGATCGGGCTTCCAAAAAACCGATCCGGATCGACGAATCGGCGA